AATCGTTCCTTCTTGTTTATTATTCTTTTCTTTTATTTCCATTATATTTATTAGTTCATTCTTAAAAAACTATTCTTTTATTTTCTTCTTTTTTATCTTCCTTTCAACTTTCTTTTTCTTTATTATCTTATTTCTCTTCTAGACAACATTCTCTTTATCATTTTCTTTTTCTTTTGTCTTTTAATTATTACTTTATTCTCTTTATTTTTTATTGATTTTTTTTCTTATTTAATTGATGGTGTTTATTGATTATTAATTGAGTCATGAAGGGTTCCAAGAAGCCAAATTAAATAGAATAATTAAACAAAAAGTCTCAAACATAAATTAACAACAGCCATAATTAGTTTGTTGAGAAGAAACGTCTTCAATATGAAGATTTTCATTTGAAGAAATTGTTTCGTCTATTTGATTTGATTCCATCACAGCAGCAACCATTTCATTAACTAAATCTTCAACTCCTTCAAAAGTTTTAGCTGATGTTTCTGTGTAAATTAGGCTATGTCTACGTGCAAATTCAAGAGCTTCTTCTTTTGAGACTGCACGTTCAAGATCAATTTTATTTCCAACGCAAATTATTGTGTCAATTTCACAATTTCCTTTAACGTCATTTAACCAGTACTCAAGTTGTTCAAACGTTTCTTTTCGTGAAATGTCATAGACCATAATAACGGCATTAGATTTTCTATAGTAACTTTGTGGAATAGAGTGATAACGTTCTTCACCACTAGTATCAAATAAACTTACTAAAACTTGTTGTCCTTTGTATGTTCTATTAAATTTAATAAATTCAGCACCAATAGTTGCTGAAGTTTTTTCAAAAACTCCTTTAGAAATTACACAGCAAATTGAAGATTTGCCCACAGATGATTCTCCAACAAGAGTAACTTTTATCTGTTTGTTTGAAGTCATTTTAGTGATGATGAATTTATTATTTTTTATTTTGATTTTAATTTTAATTTTTTTTCACTAAAAATACGATAAAAAACAAATTGATTTTTACTTTTTAAAAGACATAAAAAGATCTTGAAATTACATAGAATATATGGAATCACAACCAAAACTCCCTTTTAAACAACGAGTTTCTTTTGAAGAACGTAAGGCATTTGCTATTCAATTAAGACAAAAGAAACCAAATTATGTCCCACTTGTTGTTGAAAGTGATGGAACTTCAAATGCTATTGATTTAAAGAAGGATAGATTCTTCATTCCTGAAGACTCAAAAGTTAGTGACTTTGTTAAAGTCTTAGTTGATAAATACATTGAAACTGATGGCGAAACTCCAATTTCAACCGTTTCTGTTAAAATTCAAACACCAAGCAAAGCTATTCAACCATCAAATGAAGATACTATTGGATCACTTTATGCTATGTATCAAGAAGAAGATGGGTATCTTTATTTCATTGTTTACAGAGAATCTGTCTTTGGATATTAAGTGGTTGTTTCTTAACTAAATTTTTTTTATAAATTTTAAAGTCTGAATTTAGTAGTAGGGGAAAGAGTTGAATTAGTGATAATCAAATCAATAAGAATTAGTGACATATTTGTAAGACATTTAAAATTCAAAGATACTAATTCAATATTGAATATTTTTTATAAAAGTAAAATTTAAAGATATTATTTAAGTATTTAAACACTGTTAATTTTAAAGTAATGTTTTTATTTAAATATGTTCATTTAAATGAACAGTTATTTTTAATGTTTATCAAATAGCTTTATTTTGTTGATGATAAACTAAATTTATTTACAAGAGTTTCAAAGTGAATGAGTAGATTGTTATCATTTATTATAAATTATCTCTGATTATAAATATACAATTTCAGTAACAAGGAATACTTAATTAGTGTAAGCAATAACTTTGATTTGAAAAAAGTAAAGGAATCATAAGAAATAGGTTAGTTGAATATGCAAGGACAAAATATGATTTAAAAAATATTGTTATTAAGTTTTAGGACAAACAAAAGAGTCAATTAAACATTATAATTCTCTTACATCCCATTGAAGAGAAATATCATTATCATTTGTTTTTGATGCCAAAGACATTGTTTGGTGACACACAGGACAAAAACTAGACTGAGTTTTCCAATTTAGAATGCAATTTTTATGAAACACATGATGACATTGTAAAACAACGCCCGTTTCAGTTACACTTTGACATATTACACATAACTCTGGTTGGTCTAGATGTGTCTCTTTGATACGAGTTAGACTGATTATTGTTGGAATTTGTCTTAACAACGCAAATGTATCTTTCAAAGATAGACAAAAACTAGTGAAAGAGCGAATAACAAATATGTCTGTGCAAATAGTGAGGTAAATAGAAGCCCTTAACATTATGAAAATCTCAATGATTAGAAGTAATAAATTTCTAAAAGTTACAATTAAAGATAATTTATATTCACTCATCCCAAATAAGTATTGTTGTAATAGTAATATAGCTGACAACATAATGCTACAACAAGAACACATACATTCATACCACAACATAGCTGGAATTACAAATTCATTTAAACGTAACGTGTTAATAATAATCCACAAAGCAATAATAATTGAACCAACCAGACGGGTAATTGCTCTTTTATCTAATTCATTTTTTAATGTACTTTGTGTTTTTATATAGATCATACCATCAAAAAATTTAACAGTAAAAATAACAATTAATACTAATAAACGTTCTGTTGCATTACTTTCTAAAGTAATAGAAAAAAAGGCAATGTCCCATAAAAGTCTCATTCTGTTAAAAACGGCAATCTTTTCAGAAGAAGTTGTTGGTGGAAGAATGTAAAAAAACATCCTACATACAAGGAGTAATATCCCCGTAAGAAATACTACCATTTGATAAGATGGTTGAAAATGTACTGAAATTGGTTCTTCACTGCTTATCATCATAAAAGTAGATAATACTATCAAACAAATAATTTTTAATGTAATTATCATGTGCTAATTTTAAGTTAGTTCTTTCTTAAAAATTTTTAACATTCAGTTCCTATAAAAGCTATTCAAGGTTTTTTGTGTTAAGTATAACAAATTAATTATTTTTTTTTTCTTAATGTAATGTGGAAGTATTTTTTGTTAAACTGAATTAATATTTGGAAAAAGTAAATTTAAAAAAGAATTTATTTATCTTAGTTTCTTTCTTTTTTGTATCCTCTTCTTATTCTTTATATTTTATTTAAATAATTGTTAATAAAGATATGACATCTGTTATAATAAATGAATTAGGAATATGAACCAAATTTAAGAACATAAGTTAAAGAGTAATTAGAGTATATTTACAAATATAAGTATTGAATAATAGGAGAAGTAATAGAGTAATCAATGACAATCAAAAATGATTAGTTAAAAGAATAATGAAATGAAGAGATTAGTAAGAAGGGGAACAGTAAGTATAGGTTATCAATAAAATACAATGAGTGAAAGAAAAGATGATGTAAACAATGTATTTGAATGATGATAATAAATTTAATAATATTTGGATGAGTGAAAAGAAACAAAATGATACTTTAATGGTGTTGTTATATTCCAAGAAAGGGATATAGGAATAAAGTATATTCGTAGTGTAAACAAATAGAGTTCGTGATAAGTAATATAAAATCAAGAACTATACTTATGAGAAATAGTGTGTTATAACACTGGGTTGATTAATAAATATAAATATTCAATAATAGTTTTGTATTAAATAAAACTGTAAATAAATTTTAATACATATTATTAAAAGAGTCATTATTAAAACTGTAAAAGATGTAATATTTTTATACATCAACCCTGATAGTATATTGGTGTATTGATATTCTAATAAAATGGTGTTATGGATAATACAGAATGAGAAAAATATTTTAAATTGACTGAAACAATGGTATTCAAAATAAGATTTTTTCTCATCTTTAATAAATAAAATATGTATTATTCATATCGTTCTTTTAAATTTACTATCATCATTAATAAAGATTTTGTGTTTTTATGCCTTTGATTGTATAATTTGTTTGTTGGTTTTATTCAATATTATTGAATAAAAATATAAATAGTCAGAGGGTAGAGTAATAAAGTGATAATTTGTATCAAACAAGTAAATCAAATTTAAATAATTGTGATTGTTGAAAATAATATTTCAAGAAATTAAATTTAAAATAATAAAATAAGGAGAGGTAAAGGAGATATTGTAATATTTGAAAATAGTAGTAGAAGAGGGTTTTGTCATTAATAATAAGAAAGGCGATTGAAGTCATGATACGGATGTATTTAATTTAATTGGTCGAAGTCAAGAATAGTTGTAGAATGAAATAAAGAGTATGCATCACATGAGTTGATAAAAATAATATAAAACAAAATAAATAAGAGAATAGATGTTATTGGTATTTCATAACACAACAATAATAATGAACATTTCAAATATATTTATTATGTCTTGAACTAATGTATTCAAAATTTTTATTTGAAATGATTATTTGATGTAAAGGAAGATAGATAACTAAAGAAATGAATTTATACAATATTTTAATAATACTATTCATTATATGAATTTAAAGGAAATAAAAAATAAATGAATGTATACTACAGAACTAATAGGGTGATATTTATTTAATGAGAAAGTAGTATTTCATGGCATTAGATTTGATAAATTTCAATTTATATAAAAATTAAAAATTTAGAAGATTTAGAAAAATTATAGTTTTAAATTATAAGAAATAATTTTAAATAATTTTATTATTTGGTTTATTTGAAAAAAATGAGAAATTAAATAAACATTTAATTAATATTTAGTTTTTAAATAAATCATTGAAACTTAAAAATAATAATTAGTATAAAAAGAATGAGTATGAATAAAGAAGAGGTAAAGATAACTAAATTGGTTATTATAGGAAATAGCAGAGATGGAAAAAGTTCATTAGGTAATTTTATATTAAAGAAAAATGCCTTTGTTGTAAGTGATAAATTATGCCCAGAAAATAAAGGAGTTAAAGGAAGTTATGGAGGTTTAGATAGAAATAATGTATTTGTTATTGATACGCCAGGAGTTCAAGAATCAGAAGAAATGAATAAAAAATGGATAAACCAAATGATTGATTCTATTAAAAAAGAAAGAGAACTACATGGAATAATAATTGTATTTAATTATAACCAAGACAGATTTCCAAAGGGTAGCAAGGAAATGATTAAAAGGATTTACAATGGAATTTCAAAACCAGAATTTTGGCAACATCTATGCATCATATTGACAAATTGTTATTGTTATATTCCTGAAAAGGTAATAGAAAAGAAAATAAGTAAGAAAAGAGAAGAGTATCAAAAAGAAATAATGAAACTTGTTATAGAAACAACAGGAAATGAAGAATCTATTGAATTTCCAATGTATTTTGTTGATTCACAACCAGAAGAAGGAGAAGATAATACTAGATCAGAAGCAGAAATAAAAAAGTTTTTAG